AGGAAACACATCCAGAGGAGCAGCCTGAAATTCGAAAGAAATCTCTCCGGGAGCTCAGCCTGGGTGCGAGAGGTTGGGGGGGACCCCTGAACGGCTCTGCAGCGCTGTCCTGTCCTGATTTACCCATTTTGTCCATGGTGTTCTTCTGCTGCGGAGCCCCAGAAGACACTAGACGCCCGCGCAGTCTTGAACGGGTCAGCCTGCCGCGCCGCCTGCGAGCCAGTCTGACAGCGCGCGGCACACCTCCGCACCCCACTTCCGGCGCACTTCTGTACCTTACTTCCGGCGCACCTCTGTATTCCACTTCCGGTGCTTAGCTGGCTGGGCCGGGTTAAAACACCCGGCGAGTCACTCCGCGGCGCCAGACGTTGGGCTGCGCAGGATCTGAGACGCTCGCCTGACTGATCACCGCTTGCTCTGCGCTGAGGTGCTGGGGCAGCCATGGGGTCAGATGGTGAGCACCTTGCAGGGCAGGACTACGACCCCGGGGCTCGGCGGGCTCTGTTCGGCTACCACCCGCCAAATGGAGTGTGTCTTTTGGGCTGGGTGGAACCCGTTTGGTGTTTAGAGGAGTAGCCAAGGCATTCATTCATTCAGTAAATATTTTTGGATCGCCTCCTGTGTGCAGGCGTTATTTTTTTGTATTGGAGCAGAGATCGTGACAGACAGGGGTCCTCGTGGAGGTTACAGTCTAGTAGGTGAGACAAACGAAAATAATTTCAGCCGGGCGCGGTGGATTAGGCCTGTAATCCCAACACTTTGGGAGGCCGAGGCAGGAGAATCACTTGAACCAGAGAGTTCAAGACCAGCCTGGGCAACACAGCCAGATTCCGTCTCTAGTAATAATAATAATAATAATAATAAGCCGGGTGTGGTGGCGCGGGCCGCCTGTGCCACCAGCTACTGGGGAGGCTGAGGCGGTAGAATCACTTGAGCCTAGGATTTCAAGGCTTCAGTGAGCTATGATCGCACCACGGTACCCAGTCTGGGCGACAGGGCACGACCTCGTCAATAAAAAAATTTAAAAAGGCCAGGTGTGGTGGCTCGCGCCTGTAATCCCAGCATTTTGGGAGGCCGAGGCGTGCGGATCACGAGATCAAGAGATCAAGACCATCCTGGCCAACATGGTGAAACCCCATCTCTACTAAAAGTACAAAAAATTAGCCGGGCGTGGTGGTGCATGCCAGTAGTCCCAGCTACTCGGGAGGCTGAGGCGGACTTGCTTGAAACCGGAAAACGGAAGTTGCAGTGAGCCGGGATCGCGCCATTGCACTCCAGCCTGGGTAACAAAAGCGAAACTCCGTCTCAAAAAAAAAAAAAAAAAAAAATTGTTTTTCAAAGGATGACCAGCTATGAAAGTGATGTAATAGTATGGTCCTAGTTATAATAGTACATTGTGAGTAGGATCAAGGAGGAGCTGTTTTAGATAGTGGTCTGGGAAAAGAGCAGGATATTGAAATCGGCTTGAATGATTCTGTGAAGTTCTGGGGGAAGTGCGCTTTAAGTGCATAGGTCCTGTGGTAGATTGAGCCACCAAGTTAGACTGAGAAGAGAGAAATGAAGAGCTTGTGGGTAGAGGATGGTGGAGAGACTCATTCGTGCATTAAACTACCACATGTAGAGCTTCCTTAAAGAAAAAGAAGGCTAGAGGGATAAGATCAGAGAATCAGTCAGTTTCAGTCATACAGGGCCTTACTGGCCCTGATAGACTTTATTTTTAGGTGCCACACAAAGACATTGTAGAGTTTGAAGCCAAGAAGTATTATGATCTGATTTGCAATTTAAAAGATCACTTTGGCTGTTGTGTGGAAATTGGACTGTGGGGAGCAAGAATAGAGATAGGGGAATCCTTTCAGGAACTGTAATAGGCTGGGTGTGGTGCCTCACACCTGTAATCCCAGCACTTTGGGAGGCCGAGGTGGGTGGACCGCGAGGTCAGGAGTTCGAGACCAGCCTGACCAACATGGTGAAACCCTGTCTTTACTAAAAATACAAAAAATAGCTGGGCATAGTGAAATGCGTCTGTAATCCCAGCTACTTGGGAGGTTGAGGCAGGAGAATCGCTTGAATCTAGGAGGTGGAGGTGAGTGATCTCTGCAGTGAGCCAAGATCACGCCATTGTACTCCAGCCTGGGCAATAGAGTGAGACTCCATCTCAAAAAAAAAAAAAAAAAAAGGAACTGTAATAATTGCCCATCCTCTCTTAATTGATGTGAAACCACACCACAACCCTGTGAGGGAGGCAGGCCTGGCATCGTCCCTGTCTGCAAATAAGGTAGTGAACTAAAGAAGGAAATTCACAGGGACATTGCATGTGTATAGATGCACACTTTTCTTTACAGGCAACACTTTTTCTGTCTAGCAGACACAGCTATATTAAGTGCTTCTGTCCTAGGCACTTCATTGTGTGATTTACACATTTTTTTGTTTTGCTTTTCTATTAAAAAAAAATAGAGATGAGGACTCACTATGTTGCCAGGCTGGTCTCCAACTCCTGGGCTGAAGTGATCCTCCTGCCTCGACCTCCCAAAGTGTTGGGATTATAGGTGTGAGCCACTGCGCCAGTCCTGATTTACATACGTTATTTTATCCTAAGATTAACAAAATCCATTGTGTTTTAAGAAGTCCAAAGTCTAAGTGGGCAGGACTGGGAAGAGAGATCAGAAACACAACTAACTAAAGTGAAATAGAAAGTGCTGAGTGTCATTAGAAGAGGGTCAGTTAGAGCTGGTGCTGGTCAGAGGTGGGCAGTGGAGCAGGGAAGAGCCACAGTCTTTAGAATCAAGCAGACCTGTCTTTAGAACAGGGCTTTGGCCTTGTCGCTTGCTAGGAGACCATATGTGACTTAGGAAAAGTTACTTTCATTTGCAAAATGGGAATACCATATATCATATTCCAGCTAATCTAAGATAATATTGATTATGAGATGTGCCCTTATTTAATTCACCACTAAGAAAGAAACTGCCACTACTCTTAATGATAAGGACGCCATTCAGATGTCAACAACTATTAAATGTAAAAAACAAGGAGTAGGGGTCATCTTATAATTGATGGCAGTAAAATGTCCCTTGCTGGATGGTTGTCAGGATGGAATGGGATTTGGGGATTGCAGATTCCAGTGCCTGGTGCAGAGGAGGCTGGCATTCCTGCTCCTCTGAGATAGGGGAGCCATGACCTGCTGGAAGAAAGAGTTTACATTAGTTTGGGGCCTTGAAGAGTAATTGGGATTTGAATATGCAGAAATCAAAGATGGGGTGGAGATTCTCCTAATGTAGGAGACAGGACTGCAGGAAGGAAGATATGGAGGCAGGAAAGGCATTACTGCTCTTTGCTGTTAAATGAGCATCCTGGAGCCGGGACGGTGGCTCACGCCTGTAATCCCAACACTTCAGGAGGCCGAGGTGGGAGGATCGCTTGAGCCCAGCAGTTTAAGAGCAGCCTAGGCAACAAAGTGAGACCTATCTCTACAGAAAATTTAAAGATTAGCCAGGTGTGGTGGTGCACGCCTGTGGTCTCAGCTATGCGGGAGACTGAGACAGGAGGATAGATTGAGCCCAGGAGGTCGAGGCTGGAGTGAGCTATATTCATGCCACTGCACTCAAACCTGGGTGACAGAGTGAGACCTTGTCTCAAAAAATTGTTTAAAAATACGTAAATAAATGAGCATCCCGGGCTTTTCATAACAGTGTGTATTTAACAGGTTTGTATGTCAGTCTGTCACCTCAATTAGAGTATAGTCTCTTTGAGGGCTTGGACTCAGTATCCCCAAGACCTAACACTGGTAGTGTAAAAGTTTGTTGAAGGAGTAATGTGTTTGGGGTGGCGTGTGCATGTAGTCTTCACTTCTGGGGAGGCCGATGAGGGAGGATCACAAGCCCAGGATTTCAAGACCAGCCTAGGCAATTTATCGAGACCCCGTCTCTTAACAAAAATCAGAAAACAGAAATCCAAACGAACGATAAATGTGTTATGGTAGCCTGTTTAGTTTGGAGAATAGAATTCCTTTTCACAGTAAAATCTTTACATAGGAATTGCTTTCCCCTCTTTTTTTTTTTTTTTTTTTTGAGACAGAGTTTCGCTGTTTGCCCAGACTGGAATGCAATGGCACGATCTCGGCTCACCGCAACCTCCGCCTCCTGGGTTCAAGCAATTCTCCTGCCTCAGCCTCCCGAGTAGCTGGGACTACAGGCACGCACCATCATGCCCAGCTAATTTTTGTATTTTTAGTAGAGACGAGGTTTCACCTTGTTGACCAGGATGGTCTCGATCTCTTGACCTCGTGATCCACCCGCCTCGGCCTCCCAAAGTGCTAGGATTATAGGCGTGAGCCACCGCGCCCGGCCTTCCCCTCTTTTTTTTGAAGATTAAAAAAAAAAAATGTCCTGCTCTGTCATCCAGGCTGGAGTGTAGTGGCACAATCTCAGCTCACTGCAACCTCTGCCTCCCAGGTTCAGTTGATTCTCCTGCCTCAGCCTCCTGAGTAGCTGGAATCACAGGCATGTACCACCATACCGGGCTAATTTTTTTTGTATTTTTAGTAGAGACAGGGTTTCGACATGTTAACCAGGCTGGTCTCAAACGCCTGACCTCAGGTGATCTGCCCACCTTAGCCTCCCAAAGTGCTGGGATTACAGGCATAAGCCACCATGCCCAGCCTGTTTTTTTACCTTTTAAAAAGTAACTTAATTATAATTGGCGTTGCTGCTACATGAATTTATGAGTATGGGCCATATTGACACCTAAGCAAACCTCCCTTTAATTTTTTGTGCCTGAAATTCTACCACTGGGATTCCTACTACTGGTTAACCAGTGCCTTCTGTTCTTGACCAGGCATTCAAAATGCAGTAGGTGGTGCTTTGTTTTGTTTTTCTGACCAGGTCTCATTCTGTCTCCCAGGCATTGGCAGGAACATGGCTCACTGTAGCCTCAACTTCCTGGTCTCAAGTGATCCTCCCACCTCAGCCTCCTGAATAGCTGGCACTACAGGCATGTGCCACCAAGCCCAGCTAATCCCCCCCCCACCAGGTGACAGTCTTCCTCTGTCATTCCAGCTCTTGGGAGGCTGGAATGCAGAGTATGATCTCAGCTCACTGTAACATCCGTCTCCCAGCTTCAAGCGATTTTCCTACCTCAGCCTCCCAAGTAGCTGGGATTACAGGCGTGTGCCACCACACCCAGCTAATTTTTTTTTTTTTTTTTTTTTGTATTTTTTGTAGAGACGGGGTTTTACTGTGTTGGCCAAGCTGATCTGGAACTCCTGACCTAAAGTGATTTCCCCACCTCGGCCTCTCAAAGTGCTGGGATTACAGGCATGATCCACTGTACCTGACCCTAATTTTTGTATTTTTAGTAGAGAAAGGGTTTTGCTATATTGCCCAGGCTGGTCTCGAACTTCTGTGCTCAAGCCATCCTCCTGTCTTGGCCTCCCAAAGTGCTGGGACTACAGGCCTGTGCCACCACGCCTCACCCTCATTCAGCAGATATGTATTGAGCAGCTGCAGTGTGCTAGGAATGAGGAGAAGCAGTGAAGAAAAGAGGCAAAAATTCCCGCCTGCACAGAGTTTACATTTAGTGCGTAAGAGATACAGTGGTTCAGGAAGTAGGCAAGAGCTTGCTAAGGACCTAGAGTGCTTTAAAACTTTCTACCTGTTTCCTTTCTCTTGCTGATTTTGTGCAAAGGGCGGGCATTCTCATTGCTCTTTTTTCAGGTTTAATCCTTATTTTAATAAAGTTTTCAAGCAGAAAAAAAACTTTAACTGGGTCTTCTGTTAATCTCATAATGTGATAAACATTTAAAGGCAGGCAGTGGTCCTCTTGATTTAATTTATGAATTGGGAATGTTAGCTTTGATTCATTTTTATAAAGCTAATATTTTAAATTTTATTTCTTGTTAATGTTTTCAGAAGATGAATTGAATCTTCTGGTTATTGTAGTTGATGCCAACCCAATTTGGTGGGGAAAGCAAGCATTAAAGGAATCTCAGGTAAGACTGCTCGAGGAGGCCTTTGGATAATTCTGGTTTAACTGAGCATATTGCTTTTTAAAAAGACAGCTTTATTAAAGTATAATTTACATACTATAATATTCAGCTACTGTTCAATTTAGTGATTTTTTTTAAGTCAATTTGCAAAGTTGTATAAGCAGCCCCACACTTCTGCTTTAGAATGTTTCTTTAACTGGATAACGCTCCCTCATGCCTGTTTGCAGTCAGTCGCTGCTTCTGTGTCCAAGCTGCAGGCAACTGCTCATCTGCCTTCTGTCTCTAAATTCTCTTTTCTGGACATTTCGTGTATTGATTCCATACAATATGTGGTCTTAAAAAATACTTTCTATTTTGAAATATTTTATTTTTAAATAATATAGACATAGGAAACCAGAAAAGGTACAGAGACCCATCACTCAAGTTCTTCCGGTGGTGACATCTTCCATAACTGTAGTACAGTATTGAAACCATCAGTGCAATCTACAGACCTAATCATATTGCAGGTTTTATATACGCTCACTGTGTGTGTGTGTGTGTGTGTGTTTGTGTGTGTGTGTGTCTATGTGTGTAGTTCTGTGCAGTTTTACCACATTCATCGATCTGGGTGTCCACCAGCTCCACCATCAGGATATGGAACTGTTGCTTTACTGCAAAGGAGCCCCTTCTGTAGTAGTTACAGAACCTTCCCAGTCCCCATCTCCAACCCCTGGTAAACACAAATATACGAATCGGGTCTCCATTTCTGTAATTTTATTTTGTCTATAGATCATACAGTAGGTAATCTTTGAGGATGACTGTTGTTTATCCAGCATAATGCCCTTGAGATCCATCCAAGTTGCTGCCGTAGCAATAATTTTTCCTTGTTTTGTCTTTTTTGAGACAGGAGTCTTGCTCTGTTGCCCAGGCTGGAGTGCAGTGGTGCCACCATAGCCCATTGCAGCCTGATTCCTGGGCTGAAGCAGTTCTCTGGCCTCAGCCTGCTGAGTAGCTGGTACTACAGGTGCACACCACCATGCCTGGCTAATTTTTGTGTTTTTAGAAGAAACAGGTTCTCACTATGTACCCAGGCTGGTCTTGATCTCTCGGCTTCAAGCAGTCCTCCTGAATAGTCCTGTAATCCCATCACTTTGGCCTCCCACAGTGTTGGGATTACACGCGTGAGCCACCATGCCAGCCCAATACATAATTTTTAAGCATAGTCACCCTATTGTGCTATCAAACATTCAATTTATATATATATTTGTATTTATATATATATTATATATATATATAAATATATTTTTTTTTTTTTTCTGAGACTGAGTCTTGCTCTGTTGCCTAGAGCTGGAGTGCAATGGCGCGTTCTCGGCTCACTGCAACTTCCGCCTCCTGGGTTCAAGCAATTGTCATGCCTCAGCCTCCCGAGTAGCTGAGATTATAGGCATGTGTTACCATGCCTGGCTCATTTTTGCTTTTTTTAGTAGAGATGGGGTTTCACCATGTTAGCCAGGCTGGTCTCCTAACTCCTGACCTTGTGATCCACCCGCCGTGGCCTCTCAAAGTGCTGGGATTACAGGCGTGAGCCACCGTGCCTGGCTGAATTTATTTCTTCTGTCTTACTGTACGTTTGTACCTGTAACCTACTTGTCTTTATCCTCTCCTGTTCCCTCCCCACTCATCCTTTCTAGTCTCTGTTATCTATCTTTCCAATTTCTACCCCATGTAATCACATTTTTTTTAGCTCCCACTTATAAGTGAGAACATGAGGTATTTGTCTCTTTTTTTTTCTTTTTCAGACGGAGTTTCACTCTTGTTACCCAGGCTGGAGTGCAATGGCGCGATCTCGGCTCACCGCAACCTCCGCCTCCTGGGTTCAGGCAATTCTCCTGCCTCAGCCTCCTGAGTAGCTGGGATTACAGGCACGCGCCACCATGCCCAGCTAATTTTTTGCATTTTTAGTAGAGATGGGGTTTCACCATGTTGACCAGGATGGTCTCGATCTCTTGACCTCATGATCCACCCGCCTCGGCCTCCCAAAGTTCTGGGATTACAGGCGTGAGCCACCGTGCCCGGCCTATTTTTTTATTTTTATTTTTTATTTTATTGACAAGGTGTTTGTCACCTGGGCTGGAGTACAGTGGCGTGATCATGTCTCACTGCAGCCTCAATCTCCTGTTCTCAAGAAATCCTCCTGCCTCAGCCTTCTGACTTGGGAAGATAGGCATGTACCACCATGCCCAGCATTTGTCATATTTTGAGTTAATTTTTGTTTGTTTGTTTGTTTTGTTTTTTTAGATGGAGTCTTGCTCTGTCGCCCAGGCTGGAGTGCAGTGGTGTAGTCTCGGCTCACTGCACCTCTGCCTCCCAGTTTCAAATGATTCTCATGCCTTAGCCTCCCTAGTACTTGGGACTATAGGCACACGCCACCACGCCCAGCTAATTGTTTGTATTTTTAGTAGAGATGGGGGTTTTTGCCATGTTGGCCAGGCTCATCTTGAACTCCCGGCGTCATCTGATCTGCCCGCCTTGGCCTCCTAAAGTGGTGGGATTAGAGGAGTGAGCCACTGTACCTGGCTGATTCTTCATGATTGTTCATAATCTGGTCCCACTCTCTACCACACTTTCTTTGCCTGTCCTCACTCCCAAGCAACTCCTGATCTCTTTCTGTTACTATAGATTAGTTTGCATTTTCTAGATTTTTTTTTATGTAAACGGAATCAAACAGTATATAGTGGGGAGGTGTTTTGGCCTGTTTTTGTTTTTTTGGGGGGACAGAGTCTTGCTCTGTCACCCAGGCAGGAGTGCAGTGGCATGATCTTGGCTCACTGCAGCCTCCACCTCCAGGGTTCAAGTGATTCTTCTGTCTTAGCCTCCCAAGCAGCTGGAATTATAGGTGTGTGCCACCACACCTGGCTAATTTTTGTATTTTTAGTAGAGATGGGGTTTTGCCATGTTAGCTAGGCTGGTCTCAAACTCCTGACCTCAAGTGATCTGCCCACCTTGGCCTCCCATAGTGCTGGGATTACAGGTGTGAGCCACTGCTCCCAGCCAACTGAGCATAATTATTTTGAGATTTTTTAATGTTATATGTATCCATAGTTCATTTATTCTTATTGCTAGTATTCCATTATATAGATATCCCACAATTTGTTTATCTCTTCTCTTGTTCATGGATATTTAGGTTGGTTCGAATTTTTGTCTATTACAGATAAAGGTGCTATGAACATTTGTATACCAGTCTTCTTATTTATTTATTTTTATTTATGTATCTATGTTTTGAGATGGAGTTTTGCTCTTGTTGCTCAGGCTGGAGTGCAATGACACGATCTCGGCTCACTGCAACCTCTGCCTCTCGGTTCAAGCGATTCTCCTACCTCAGCCTCCTGAGTAGCTGTGATTACAGGCACATGCCACCACGCCCAGCTAATTTTTTTGTATTTTTAGTGGAGATGCGGTTTCATCATGTTGGCCAGGCTAGTCTCGAACTCCTGACCTCAGGTGATCCACCTGCCTCAGCCTCCCAAAGTGTAGGGATTATAGGCATGAGCCACCGCGCCCAGTCATATACCAGTCTTTTCATAGACATATATTTTTGTTTTTCTTGGGTGCCTATTTGGCAGTAGAATGGTGGGTCATACAGGTAGATGTGTAACTTTTTTAGAAACTTCCAGGCCAGGCATGGTGGCTCACACCTGTAATCCCAGCACTTCGGGAGGCTGAGATGGGCGGATCACGAGGTCAGGAGTTGGAGACCAGCCTGGCCAATATGGTGATACCCCATCTCTACGAAAAATACAAAAAAATTAGCCAGGTGTGGTGGCACGTGCCTATAGTCCTAGCTACTCGGGAGGCAGAGGTTGTAGTGAGCTGAGATCATACCACTGCACTCTAGCCTGGGTGATGAAGTGAGACCCTATCTCAAAAGAAGAAAGGCATGTTTTATAGCCTAGCATAGGGGCTGACAAACTAGGGCCCGTGGGCCGGATCCGGCCTCTTGTCTGTTCTTTTTATGACGGGTGAGCTGTCTTCCACTTTTCAATCGTTTAAAATAAATTCAGAAGAACAATATTTTTGTGACTTGAAAATTATATGAAATTCAAATTTCTGGAATTATAAATAAGCCTCACTCATAAATGTGTGTGTTTTCTGTTGCAGCTTTGCATTACAACAGCAGAGTTGAGTAGCAATAAAGATCGCAGGGCTCAGAAAGCCTAAAATATTTACTATCTGACCCTTCACAAAACTAGTTTCCTGACGTCTGGCCAATTCTGTGTTCTGTTCTGGAGAATGTTGCCTGTCTACTTGAAAAGAATATGCGTTCTCTGTTTCTAGTGAAGTGTTCTATAAATGTCTGTTAGTTCAGGTTGGTTGATAGTGTTCCTATAGTCCCAGCTACTTGGGGGGCTGAGGTGGGAGGATCACTGGAGCCCAGGAGGTTGAGTCTTCAGTGAGCCATGACCGTGCCACTGCCCACCAACCTGGGAGACAGAGCAAGACCCTGTCTCAAAAAAAAAAAAAAATTATCAAGAATATTGAAATGAGGTATTGTTGAATTGTGTATTTCTTTGTTTGTTTGTTTGTTTAGTTTTTTGAGATGGAGTCTTGCTCTCTCACCCAGGCTGAAGTGTTGTGATCTCTGCTCACTGTAACCTCTGCTTCAGTTCTCCTGCTTCAGTCTCTCGTGTAGCTGGGGCTATATGCGCATACCACCACACCTGGCTAATTTTTCTATTTGTAGTAGAGACTGAGTTTTACCATATTGGCCAGACTGGTCTCGAACTCCTGACCTCAAGTGATCTGCCCACCTCGGCCTCCCAAAGTGCTGGGATTACAGGCCTGAGCCATGCATCTGGTCAGTTTTTCCCTGTTTTTGTTTTTGTTTTTTGTTTTTTAAATTGAGACTGAGTCTCGTTCTGTCACCCAGGCTGGAGTACAGTGGCACCATCTCGGCTCACTGCCATCTCAGCCTCCTGGTTCAAGCAATTCTCCTGCCTCAGCCTCCCGAGTAGCTGGGCTCACAGGCATGTGCCACCATACTCGGCTAATTTTTGTATTTTTAGTAGAGACAGGGTTTTGCCACATTGTCCAGGCTGGTCTCTAATTCCTGACCTCAAGTGATTTGCCTGCCTTGGCTTCTCTAACTGCTGGGATTATAGGCATGAGCTGCTGTGTCCAGCCTTCAGTTATTTTCTTACTGGTTGCTGTATTCATTCAGTAGGGCTGCCAAAACAAAGTACCACAGATTTGGTGGTTTAAAACAATAGAACTAGGCCGGGCGCGGTGGCTCAAGCCTGTAATCCCAGTACTTTGGGAGGCCGAGACGGGTGGATCACAAGGTCAAGAGATCGAGACCATCCTGGTCAACATGGTGAAACCCCATCTCTACTAAAAATACAAAAAATTAGCTGGGCATGGTGATGCATGCCTGTAATCCCAGCTACTCAGGAGGCTGAGGCAGGAGAATTGCCTGAACCCAGGAGGCGGAGGTTGCGGTGAGCCGAGATCGCGCCATTGCACTCCAGCCTGGGTAACATGAGTGAAACTCTGTCTCAAAAAAATAAAAAATAAAAAATAAAAAATAAAACAATAGAACTGTGTTGTCTCTGTGGTGGAAGCTAGAAGTGGAGGTGCTTCCTCTGAAACCTTTACGGGAGGATCTTCCCTGCCTCTTCTGGCTTCTGGTGGTTGCTGCAGTCCCTGGCATTCCTTGGCTTGAAGATACCTCACTCCGGTCTCCGACTGTGTCGTCACATGGCTGTCTCCTCCCTGTGTATCTCCATGTTCTCCTCTAAGAACATCAGTGTCCTTGGATTAGCGTGCTTCCTACCCCAGTATGACTTCTTCTCACTTGATTTTATTTGCAGTGATTCTGTTTCCAAATAACATCATGTCTCAGGTACCAGAAGTTAGGACTTGAACATATCTTTTGCGGGGGCATAATTCAACCCACAACAGTGGGTCTAGGGATTACAGTATGTATCTTACCATTGTCTACTTTAGATTAATACTCTTTTAATTCCCGTAAAATGTAGAGGCTTTGCTCTGATATAGATCCATTTCCACCCCTTCCCCGTGTTCTTATTGTCATAGATATTACACCTGTGTGTGTTACAAACCTCATAACTGCAGTGTTTATAGTTGTTACTTACATAGTTGCTTATGCCAATTATAAGCATTGTTTCTCTTGTTAACAAAAAACAAAAATATCACACAGTATTCATGTTAGAACTATACTCATTTTTCAGTTGAAACCATATTCATTTTTCAATTGGCTATGGATACAAGAATTCAGCAAAAATCAACATAGGCATTCTGTGAGAATCCATTGGCTGTATGGAATTTCCCCTAAAGGGTATTGTGCATTTCATAGCTATTTGTAAATTGTGTGCTACTTACTGTGCTACTGTTATATCAGTAACATCCATAAGTACTTGTGTACATGTCTGCGAGCTTTTGGGGAGCGACTAGTTAAACATCTTCCAGCACGTTGCTGCATGCTACTCTGTTACTCTCCAGAAAGCCTGAGTTTGCACTTACCATCGGTTATGAGAATTCCTTTTTTCTTGTACCAACGCAAGATTGTTCATTCTCCTTATTTCATCCTTTGTCAATATGAGGTGCAAAAAACAATGTAATTTCAATTTACTTTTAGTGTATTTCATGGCCATTTAGATTTCTCTTGGGACATCACCCAGTTTTTTCTTTTGATATTCATGGTGTGTGGTTTTTTTAAAATTAGTGATTTATGGACACTCTTTGTATTAAAAGATTAACCCATTACTTGTCATGTGTTATAACTATTTTTTTTCCCAGTTTGTAACTTGTCTTCTTTCACTTTTATTTATATTGTCACTTTTTGCCAAAGTTGTTTTTCTAGTAGGGTGAAATTTACCAGTGTTTTTTTTTTTGAGATGGAGTCTTACTCTGTCACCCAGGCTGCAGTGCAGTGGCATGATCTCAGCTCACTGCAGCCTTTACCTCCCGGGCTCAAGCAGTCCTCCTGCCTGAGCATCCCGAGTAGCTGGGACTACAGGCACGTGCCACCACACCCTACTAATTTTTGTATTTTAAGTAGAGACGGGGTTTTGCCATGTTAGCCAGGCTGGTCTCCAACTCTTGACCTCAGGTGACCTGCCTGCCTTGGCCTCCCAAAGTGTTGGGATTACAGGCGTGAGCCACCATGCCCGGCCACCAGTGTTTTGTCTTCTACCTGAAGTATTTCTTTAAGAGAAACAGGCCTTATTCCAGGGTTATGAAAATAACTACTTATGAAGACCGTGCCTTAAAGATAATTTCTTTGTTACTAGAGAAGTTTCTCTGAACATACAGAGCACCAAAAAAAAAAATACTGACATATTTCTTAATATTAGTTCTTGTGGGAAGGTGAGCTCAATGAAAGAAGGGATGTCCTTTATTTGTTTTTTCAAACTTTAAAAGTTTTTAATTCATTTACCCGCTAAGTAATACTGAGCAACCACTATATTGTTCACTAAGTATATGCCAGACATATAGTAGTGGCTCAGTATACTTAGTGAACAAACGAATTAAAAGCTTACAAATCTTCAGTTTTATCAGTATGTATTAATTATCTACTCCACATATAGTAATAGTTTGCTGGAAATTTTATCACAGATGTGTGACATGTTTGTTATTCCTTAAATGTTACGCTGCAAATATTTGTGGAATATTGTGCTGATGTAGAAATGATTTCATATAAGTAAAATTAGAAAACTATAGTTTTCAAGTGTTTTTCTTTGTGGCTTTGGAGCTCCTGAGCAAATTTTTTTTTTTTTTTTGAGACGGAGTTTCGCTCTCGTTACCCAGGCTGGAGTGCAGTGGCACGATCTCGGCTCACCGCAGCCTCCGCCTCCTGGGTTCAGGCAATTCTCCTGCCTCAGCCTCCTGAGTAGCTGGGATTACAGGCATGCACCACCATGCCCAGCTAATTTTTGTATTTTTAGTAGAGACGGGGTTTCACCATGTTGACCAGGATGGTCTCGATCTCTTGACCTCGTGATCCACCCGCCTCGGCCTCCCAAAGTGCTGGGATTACAGGCGTGAGCCACCGCGTCCAGCCCCTGAGCAAATTTTTAACAGTGAATACTTGTCTAAAATTTAAATGAAGTCTTTTTTTTTTTTTTTTTTTTAAATACCAGGTCTTGCTCTGGTGCCCTAGCTGTAGTACAGTACTACAGTCTTGGCTCATTGCAGCCTGGATCTCCAGGGCTGAAGCAATCCTCCTACCTCAGCCTCCAGAGCAGCTGAGACTACAGGTGCACACCACCATGCCGAGCTAGTTTTGTTTATTTTTTATAGAGCTAAGGTTTCATTATGTTGCCCAGGATGGTCTCCAACTCCTGGACTCTAGCAATCCTCCCACCTTGGCCTTCCAGAGTGCTGGATTACAGGCTTGAGCCACTGCACCCAGCCTAAACGAAATCTTAATTATGTCAAGACCTGACATAGTTATTTGGATAGCTAATTTGTTTTTCTAATATCTTTTTTTTTTTTTTTAACAGTTTACTTTATCCAAATGCATGGATGCTGTGATGGTACTGGGAAATTCTCATTTATTCATGAATCGTTCCAACAAACTTGCTGTGATAGCAAGTCACATTCAAGAAAGGTATGACCATTGTGATTGCTTTTCCTCTTCAGTGCTTAACATTTATGAGCTTTTTGTGCCAGTTGACATGTATTGTTCCTACTCTCCTGCAAAAGAAAATGTCTTCTGTACCAGTGAATAGCCACAGCACCAAGAGCCGGTACATGTACATTGCGATATCCATGAATTTTGCAAGCCTCATTATTGGTAGATAGTATGTAGTATGACCCATGTAATTTGCACAGATTTTTTTTTTTTTTTTTTTTTTTTTTTTATACAGTTTTGCTCTTTCCCCAGGCTGGAGTGCAATGGTGCAGTCTTGGCCCACTGCAACCTCTGCCTCCCGGGTTCAAGCAGTTCTGCCTCAGCCTTTCAAGTAGCTGGGATTACAGGCATGTGCCACCACACCCAGCTAATTTTTTGTGTTTTTAGTAGAGACAGGGTTTCACCATGTTGACCAGGATGGTCTCGATCTCCTGACCTCGTGATCTCCCTGCCTCAGCCTCCCAAAGTGCTGGGATTACAGGCATGAGCTATTGCGCCCGGCCTGCACAGATTGAACTATATTATTTAGGCAAAGAGAGAGAGAGCTATCAAATTGGGCAGCTACTTTCCCTCACCTGCCTTCTCATTTTGTGTCTGCCCCAGAGTGCAAGTAAAATGGGGATGTGATTCTGTTTCCCTTTGGTTCTGCATAGCTCTCAGGGTGTGACTGTTTCCCTGTTCTGTGAGTGGATCTGGTGCTTAGAAATAAGGATTTTTCTTATAACACTGGCTTCTAAACCCAAGCCAACTACTCCCATCTGGTGCTTGGCAGAAGAAACAGTGGTGGTTTCTAACACTGGTGTGACACAGGCTGTGTTAGACCCACTGCAAGATGGTGCGTAGCCTGCAGCTGATATGTAAATGTGGCCACAGATACAGCAAAAGTTTTATGAATAATTTGAACCGTACTTATTTCTCACATGATGCACTGACAGAAGAGTTAAATGTGCATGTAAGACACAGCTTTTCTATGTCTTTTTTGTTTTCTTTTTTTTTTTTTTTTTGAGACAGGGTCTTGCTTTGTCACCTAGACTGGAGTGCACTGGCACGGTCATGGGTCACTGCAGCCTCTGACCTTCTGGGCATAAGTGATCCTCTTGCCTCAGCCTCCCAAGTAGCTGGGACGACAGGTGTGCACCACCACACTCAGCTAATCTTTGTATTTTTTGTAGAGATGGGGGTCTCACTGTGTTGTCCAGGCTGGTCTTGCCCTCCTGGGCTCAGGCACTCCTTTCACGTCAGCCTCCCCAAGTGCTTGGATTACAGGGATATGCCACCACGCCCGGCTCTTCCGTGTCTTAATCACCACATGACAGTAGAAGTGACTTGCTTACCAACATATTTCCTATGGCTAGCTCTCAGGCATATAGCTAGCTTTCAGGTTTTCTTGGTTCTTAGGGCTGCCTGCTTCCTCTGGTGGGGTGAAAGAGCCCGTGGGCCACCAAACACATACTCTCATTTCCATCCTTACTACTTTTTTTTCTCAGAATTAGTTGAAAAGATGATGCTAGTTTGGTTAAAATACCAATAAAAACTATACCAGGCAAAGTTTTTTTTGTTTTTTGTTGTTTTTGAAATCAAAAATGTTCTCTACCTGATTATCTTTTTTTTTTTTTTTTTTTTTTTT